CTCCCAATTAAAATTAAAGTATTTGGGTAATTCTGATATGCAGGCATTGTTAGAAGAAATGCTCTTGCTATTTCAAGCAGAGCCTGGTTCAAACGTTCCATTTAGAAGGAAGACCTTTTCATTTAAAAAACTTTCCATCGTTCTAACGATGATGGTATACTTACAGGCAACCAATGAGCCAGCTGAAAACTATTAGCACAGCTAGCTAAAATAGAAAACATCTGTTTGGAGGTCTCCAGGAGCTGCTGAGGCCACCAGGACTTATTAGGGCACAATCTCAGAGAAGGGGAAACTATACATAGAGGTGAGATGACGTGCAGCAGTATCTTGGTTCCTCAGGGAAATTCTGGGCATCAGGCCAGAGTCTGAGTGTTGGTTCAGAGTACCCAAAGAGGCCCTAAGAGGCAAAAACACCGGCAGATATTGTGTCAGTTGAGCAGGGTTGCAGAGACAACACTTACAGATGAGGGGCTGGACTCCCAGTGAGAAGGGAGAAGTGAACACCTGAGTCCAGTTACCTGCCAGTTTTCCTTAAGCCGCTTCCCAAATTCTGAAGATGTCTGTGACGGAAAGCTAAGGGAAGCAGAATGTCTCTGATCAATTCAGGTGATCAGTCCTCGCTCTAGCCATTCTGCAAAGGAGTGAACCTTCTCTGGAGGAAGATGATAACATACTGAATGTGTGGCAATATGTTAAAAATTACCAGGCAAGCCAACAGTCAGAAGAAAGAAAGGAAAACAAAATAAACACAAAACAATGGAAAACATATAAAGTACAAATAGACCCCCAGAAGATCCAGGCATGACAATCAGGGAGAGCATTAAAATAGTGATGATAGACATACTCAAGAAAACAAAGAGGGTGAGACAAAGAGGTCAGGATCAGGAGCAGGCTGGTGGCTGGAGCAGCTTCAGAGTGAGAAACTTTGTGGCTTTAGGAAGCAACATTTGCCATGATGGCCAACTGAGGCCGGCGCTTCCAAGGGGCCATTGAGCTGAATGGACCTGGAGGAGGCAGCAGGACCTGGAGTGAGCAGGGCAGTAGCCAGGGAGACTCGCTGTACCCAGCTGGTTACTTGGCCTATGCCAGCGTGTGAGTGTCAGATGATCCTGGTGGAGAAGTGCTGCTGGGACACTGCCTTGGGTCCCCTGGAACAGATTCCCATGAACTTCTTCAACATGTACCTGGGGGGCAATACCATCTCCATCTTTCCTACTAGGATGACGTACATGATGGCCTGGTGACCCACTCAGGCACTTAGGGCCCATTCGACAGCTTCAGGATGCTAGAGAGTTCAAGTCAGAAGTTTCTCCAGAGTTTGGTCTGTCTCACTGGGAACCTGATGGGTTTGGCATTGGCACTGGACAAGTGTCAGTCCGTGGGACTGTTGCCAACACATGCCTCAAATTGGTTAGCCTTCACTGAGCCCTGAGAGAATGGAGTTCAGTGCCGGAAGACCGCTTTTGTGAACATGGGGCATCTGGTGCCCGAGCATTTGGGTTTCATTTATACCCTTTCAGCCCAGTGGCTCCTCAGCATACTCTTAAAGTGTAACACAAATAGAAAAGAACCAAAAGTTGGGGCCAGCAGGTGGCATAGTGGTTCAGGTGCTGAATTCCCAAGTGACCAATCATGGTTCAAGTCCTGGACCCTGCAGCCTGAAACTCATGCTGTGTGTGTGTTGTGTGTGTGCCCAAAACCCCAAGAGAAGAATAGAGGAGAAGGAATCGAGGCATCGCCATGGCCCCTGGGGGTGATTTCTCGCTTTCTGTCTCTGTCTCTCTAGCAAGCAGAAAGAACCAAAAAGCTCTCTATTCTCCATGGTAGAGAGATCCTAGAAGAATAATGTGCATATTACTACAAACATACAGAGAAAAACTGTATTACAACCTCTGAATGAAAATAACGTAGAAAATTTTGTTTCCAGTATAGAGCAAAACAAAACATAAACCGTAACTCTTTGTAAAATAATGTTTGCTGTTAAATAAAAAACCATAGCAGCATCTCCTTTCAATAAACCAAATGGTTGAGAATGATGCTTTTAAAAAGCTGCACATTTCCCATTAAATCTTTTAATATTTTGCTTCTATTTAACATAAGCTAGAGGAAATTAAAGTTCTGTTGGAGACACCTGTGGAAGAAACCAATGCTGGATTCAGAAGATATATGACACATATATAGGATTTCAGGGTGCCTATTTCCCATGTGGGGTACTTTCTTGCTCCCCCCCCACCTGCCCCCTGTCTCTGAGAGACCGCACATGCCCCTTGGCAAATTTTTAAAAAAAATTTGTATTATGAAAAAACTATGCATTTACTTCAAGTTTTTTGTACTGAAATAAACTTGTACTTTAATTGTTTTCCCACAAACTTTTGAAGTTGCCCTGTATGTATAATTTAAATCCTAAAGGAAAAAAAATAAGAGATAGTGATCAAGAATTTCCTAAAACAGATAAAAGATATCAAGTCACCAGTTCAAAGGATTCCTTGAGTGGTGCCATCCCGCTCATGAACCCAAGTCAGATGAACACAAATTTACATCTAGACACATCATAGCAAAACTGTTGGACACTAATCACAGTAAAAACCTAGACAGAGTCAGAGGGAAAAAAGACATTACTTGCAAGGGAGAGAAAAGGGGGTGATGATGCTATGGTTTGAACACCCACCCCCCTAATTCATCTGTTAAGATTTAGTTCGATGGATGAACAGGGTGAAAACTAATCTGATTATGGTGTTAAAAGGTGGAGCCTTTGGGCGGGCATTAGGATTGAGGTCATCAGGGTGAATCCCCGACGATTGACTGGTAGGTTTATGGAAAGAGGGAATGAGACCAGAGCAGGGAGAGCTACGTGGACACAGACACACAGTCTCTTGCCACTGCCACACTGTGATGCAGCCAGACGGCCCTCACCAGATGCAGCACCTAATCCTCAAACCTTCAAACCATGGGCTGAATAAATGTCTACTCTCTTCAATGACCCAGACTTAGTTAGATATTTTCTGTTACTGGAAACAGATTAGATCTGATGGAAATCAGAAGACAACAGAAGGACATTTTGAAAATGCCGAAGAAAACTTGCCAAAGTACAATGCTATACCCAGCAAAAATATGAAGGCTAATACGAAGATCTTAAGCAAACAAATCAACTGGAGACATTAGTAACCTGCTCTAAACAGAAGAATTATTTAAGTGGCAGGAATACAGCAGCACAGAAATGCCTACTGGAATAAAAAGAAACATAAAGAGTAAGTATGGGGCTGGCATGTGGTCTGGTGATTAAGGGAGATGGATCCCACATGTCCAGCATGCAGCTTGAGACCTGAACTCAGTGGATTGAGAAATACATTGGACATATGTGTGAGTGCCCAAAACCCCAAAAAGAGAAAGAGGTGAAGAAGGGATTGCCACTTGACCATTCCCTATGGAGGGGGAGGGGGCACTTTCTCCTCTCCTCTCTGGCAAACACATGCTCCCTTTGGCCAAAAATAAACAAACAAAAATAGTAAATATGTAGGTAAACATAAGTGGTATTGACTGTATAGAAAAATAATTACAAAGTTTTGTGTGGCTTAAAATATATACACAATTAAAATCCATGATGAAAAAAAAAAAAAACACACAAATAGGTGAAGTGTAAATGGAGTCAATGTATTCTAAGATCTTGGTATTCCCGGGATATGGTAAAGCAAAAACTTACATTTGTATGTAATAAAAAAAAAATAGAATGTTGTAATCTCTAGGATAAGTGAATAGAGGGGGTCAATGGAGTAATCAAAATCTTTTTACTAATTTGAAAGAAGTCAAGGGAGAAAAAAAGAGTACAAAATAGGTGACCCTAAATAAAATAGTAACATGGTAGGTATAGATCCAAATACACCAGTAATTATATTAAATGTAAATGGACTAAAAACTTTTCCTGTTGACACCAGTATAGATCAATTTTCTGATTTTAAGTTGACCTGGACTCAGAATAAAACGTAGTCACCAAAGTACAACTGAAAAGAGAAATTCCTGGAAGAAGAAACATTTTGCTGCCAGCCCAGTAGAGCTAAATTTTGAGTAGAGGTTAAGTTAAAAAACAAAAACAAAAAACTGTCCTTTTGGGGAGCTGTAGGTTGTTTTAACTTGCAAAAGATGAGAACTTTAAGTTGTCTTTGTTGCAAATTTTCTATTTTGAAAAGACCTCCTGAATGTGCCACTTAGTTATGTAAATGTAAAGCAAAGATTCTTTCTGGAAGCTGTTGGAAAACCTCAACAATGCTTTGTGGTTGCAAATTGTTTTAAATTCTTGATACTGGGTGCTTAAACTCCAGTTCGGGTCTTTTCACACAGAAGGCTGTGGCTAATTTTCCTCCAAATTGTCCCAAGACAGGACATTTTCTGTACTATTTTTCTTCTGAAGACCACACACTATTTTCACATGAAGAACTAATTTTGTGTTACCATAACTTTACCTGTCTTTTTTGGGAACTAAAAACCTTGCCTTATTCTTCTAAGAGAATTTGCCTCTCCCCATGTGTTTCATTATACATAGATCCCATTTTACCAGAGAATGCATTAGTCTGATTCACCTATAAAATATTCTAAGAGATTAACTCATATCTGCAAATCTCTCCTAATTTGGAAATAGGGCTTGAAAACAGGTGACAAAAATGATTGAGTAAACTTCAAGGGCACCACACTTAGGTTACTTAGGCGAGCGTCAGGATATTGAATTGGCTGGGCCATCATTTGAAAATAAAAGTTTTCTGTTACTACCGAATGCTCTAAACAGCCTCTGGGACAGAAGGAAAGTACGGAATAGAAGGGCTAGAGAGGAGAGTATGGGCTTGGGGGGAGTAGAAACTTCATCTCTTGGTGGTGTAATATCCTCCATCAGCAATTTTTTTTTTTTTGACTACTTCATAATACTATGCTAGGCTCTGGAGATGCAGTGGCGTCACGGGAGAGCGATTATCCGGGCATGTACACGTATTGATACGTCACACATTAAGTGCGAATGAATACAGATGTTCAGAAAAGGAGGTACACATGGAAGTCAAGTCCGTAAGCAAGGAGGAGGTCTTTAAACGGTAAAGCTGAGACTAACCGAGGAGGTGTTGGGTAGGGAAGATTGGGCAGGCAGAGAGCACAAAGCCCACAGTTTCAATAACAAGAATACACTTCACGGAAAACTGTCAGCTTGTAGTCTGGCTTTTTAATGGTCATTTACTGTCTTTCCAGTGAATGCAAAACAAAAAAAAAGTATGACTCAGTCTCTGCCTAGAGATTAAATTAGATGAGAGATGAGACAAAGAAACAGACATGCAGGCCACGACAAAGTGCCACTTGGCGGTCCAGCCATAAATGAGGACGAGGAATTCTGCAAAGGCACGAACAGAAGACGGGATCCTAACTCAGGTGTGTGCCGCCTACTAGCGGCGTGACCTCCCGGCAAATCGCACGACCGCGTCTGCGCTGACTTCTATTAAAAATGGCTCTAGTGAGGTCTGACAACTGTCCCAGCAGTCGTGGGAAGGATGAAATGAAGTCATTGTGGCGAGGGGGGCTCGACGCGGGTGGCGAAGTTCCCCCGTCCTCGCACCTACGCTTCCCTGCGGGAGGCTGAGCTGTACGGGGGCGGATGGTGGTGACCCGCGCAGAACAGGGACTGCAGGGAAGCCACGTCCTCGCGGGGGCCGGCCACGGCAAATTCGTGGGGAGGGAGGATTTGCTAACTGTAAACACAGACGCCACCCAGAGCTCCGATCCCGTCTGGCTACCGGATTTCCGGGCCGCGGAGAAGCCACCCCACCCATGCACCGCCCTCAGTTTCCCCAGCTGTGTAATGGGGGCACACTGTCCCCCCTTCCAGGGTACCCGCCTGACCTAAACGCGTGAGAAAGGCGAGAAGGAGCCCCCAGCTGACGGCCTCCGGCCCCCTCCAGGCCTCCTCCCACTTTGGCTTTGGCCTTTTGTACCGGCACCACGTGACCCGCCCGGCCGGCTCTTCCCTCCGGCCCCGCCCCGCCCTCCGGCCGTTCCCGGCC